TTTTCACATTAAGTTTATAATTTGGACTTATCCTGAGTTATTAGAATCCAGTTGGCAAATCCATACTTTTCTTCAAGATATGTTCTAATATTAGGCCTGTCCTCCCATTTACACCCAGATCTCCCAGATGGTCTATTTCCTTCAAAGTTTCAACTTCAGTTTTTCACGAATTTATTTCCCCTGTCCTACCGCGTGTCTCTACATTCTTTATTTCACAACCCTAACAAATCTGATTGAAGCAATTATCATGGCTTTTTTAAGTAGGTCCTGCGGATGTGGTGATGTTTTTCGAACTGACACAATTTCTACGAGCCTTAAAACAAGTGATTTATGAGCAGCACATGCATTGAAATGTAGTGGAGTAGAAATCACAAAGTCCGTATGGCACTGGAACTCTGCCGATGTCAATGTTCTTATAACGCCACTGAAAACTGTCAGAAACCCAACAAAAAAACACTTGAATCCCAAACAATTTCCAAACTGAAAAGTCGTGATTCTTTACAGAGAACGGGTGTGCGACACACAGCGAAGAATGTCACAATTATTCAGGTCTCCGATATACTCGAGCGTCGATTTTCCGGTTGAGTGTCCGTGTCGTCCCTTAATCAGTAGAGGGGGCGACCGTAATTCCATATCCGCGGCCGAGCGGCGTCCCCGCGCCTCGAACTAGAAACAGATTCCGCCGTAATAGCATAAGTAACGCAGCCAATCCCATCGTTAAATGCAAAGAAGTTTAGATTTCAGGTTTTCACGACTGCGAATATGAGGATGGCTGTCTTCTGGGACAAATTAATTGTCATATAATTAATACTCTGTCCACAATTTCTAGTAACTAAGGCCAGTACAGCTTCTCACTACTTTATATTTTTGTGATATAACCTCAGTGCTTCGCACATTCTCCATGTTTGCAATTTTTTTCTTCATAAAGTGTTTTTACTGCCATTATATTGTTTTAGATGGTATACTAAAATTGCTTTAGTCCTGATCATTTCACTAACCCGCGCAAAAGTATCGCTGCTATCGCTTCCATCTCAGAAGTTTGCCCTGTCGACATGTTGGTAATAATGGTGGTAAAAGTTTAAAACGAACAAGGAGACGTGACGTGTAGTGTCATGACGTTCCTATAAAGTCTCATGAAAACCTGTAAATTTCTGGATAATTACTTAGGGATACGTAAAAAATAATGTGTAAAAACATATTATCCTGTTGAATAAGGAAAATCTGCCGAATATCTAAATTTGCGTTTTTTTTACGAAAACTTTTTGTATCGGCATTTCAGGAACTCTGAATTTACGTAATTAAACTTTTTGTCCCATGCTGTGATGTAAACCCCCGCTTTTTAATGGTATCTGCAGCGCATTCTGAGTCTGCTTGTGCAATCTGTTGATTCTCCTTCTCTTTCTCAGTCACAAAGACAATTATCTCCCAGCAGAATATCACCACCTGAACATGCGCGCATCCATCTAACTGGAGGGCAACTTCAGCAACACATTTCGTCTCAGGTTCCACGTAATTTAAATGACTAATGTACGTGTAGAACGAAGTTCTCTGTTTAGTCAGGAAACATCTTCGCGTTCAGAGAGGGAGCGGACGTTTGTTAATAGAGCACAGAGCTTCGACAGGCTGCAGAAAACAAAATAATAACAATTGAATAACGTCGGCCGTGTAGTAATTTGAGACGAGTTTGCTGATGTATAATTTGGACGTATCTCTGGACGTGCTGATGCTAAAGAATGGCGATTATGTGGCCCGATCTGTAACGTGAGGCGTACGAAAAGTGGTTACAGGACCTAACCACTCAAGTGTCACGTTTTACTCAGGTCAGTTGGCTTCACTGCGTCTTTCGCTTTCTCCATGGGTTGGCTGGAATAGCTACTACCCTCACTGGATCATATATCAATTTATTTAACCCTTTGAAGCTGAGGCTAGTCTTTATATAAGAATTCAGTTCGTACCTCAAAGAAAACAACTCTTCACCATTACAAAGATCAACTTTTTAATGTTGTTTAGGGATATAATCGCTGTTTGCAGTAAGAATTACACGGAATCCATAAATACAAAATAGTTATTGGCTGTTGAAGCAGGTGGTACATATAGTTACCACCTGACTTTAAAAGTTGAGTATAGTTTAAACTCTGAATATGCTTTGTCATCATTGTTTCTTACCTTTTCTTCAGAATACGCCGTCAACAAGGTGACAATGAAACAAAGGATTTGAATTGAATGAAACAGCTTTTGTCTTGTGCTTATGATGTTAATTTATTGGGCACAAACTTAAATTGGCGTATTATAAAGGAAATCACAAGTGTTATCAGATGTCATGAAGAAAGGTGTTTTAAAAGCAAAAGCAGAGAAAATTAAGCTTCCTATGTGTTCCTGTCCTGTCGCCAGACTTTAGTACAAAGTCACTTTTAAAGGCAGCTTAGTAAATTCTTTGAAAATATGGCAAAGTTCAAATACCTGCGGAAGAACGGTAACAAATCTGAATTCTATTCACGAATAAATTTGGAGGAGACAAAAATTTTTAATCTGTGTTCTTCTCTTATCGTGAGATCAAGTTTCACACTGATATAAAAAAAACTTTATACAGTCCTTTTCCTACCTTCCTTCCTACAATATTTGAAATCTGCCACATTTTCGAAAGATTTATTAGTCACCTTTATGTAATAATTTTGTTCTGTATCTGTTCTGGCTTTGAGACAAACAAATAATGTCTGTCACTGCCCTGATAATGGAGGCAGCAAGGACCTCTGAAACGCTGGTAAACTTCTAACAGACTACACGTTTAATAGTCCAAGAAGACAGTCAAATAAAAGTTTTATAGTTTTTGAATAAAATATGCTCATGTTTTTCATCGGTCAGACGTCTTCCCCGGAAGACAATCGTGTAAAATCTGCAGGTTCAAAGAAAAGAATGCAAAAAAAGTCCGCCATTTTATATCACCATTCTCTGAATATATCTGAGACGATTACAGAAATAGAAATGCTAGTTGTCGGCTTGCAGTTCCTTGATATTTACGGGAAGAAACGTCGGTAATGAACTCAGTGTTCAGGGCCTTGTGTGCAAATTATACCGGTACGTACATTCAGTGTCTGGTAGCAGCAGTTGCCGAAATTACAACTTTGCCGTCCAAATGTTAGGTTAGAAAATCGATCTCAAGAAGGAATCTGTTTGCCTGTAGGGTTTGCTCGTGTTTGTGCGTGCGTGCGTGTGTGGTTGAGGAATGGGGGTACTCCAGAATCTCTGAAGTCAAAATACACCGTGGTAAGAAAAAATAGTACTGAACTCATTGTGATAACTGAAATTACCTCTTTATGAGAACGAATTAACTCCATGAATGACATAATTCTTGAGAAGTTAATAATCACTGAACTAGTCAAGTTCCTCGTCGTTTTAACCTGTAGAAACCAAATCTTCAATACCACATGTTTCTATCCTGAGCCAGATTAATCCAGGTGACGTCCTCATGTCCTGTTCGTTTAAGATTCATTTCTATATCATAGTCATAAGCCTTCTAAGCAGGTAGTCTTCAGCCTTTAGGTCTTCCGACCAAAATTGTTTATGCATTTCCTGTTTCTTTCAGGCGTGCTACATGCCCTGACCTTTTAAGAGGATGTGGCAAAGAATATTACTTCCTTGTCTTATTAATTTGTATTCATTAAATGTTACCATCTTTAACATATTTTGTATCATTTATTAAACGTCCGTAAATTATCCTATCTTTATTTTATATGACGAAGTGTTTCAAGAAAAAAATTATTACATAATCTTGGAGATGTGGGATACGTAAAATATACGTTATATTTGCTCTATAATGACCGAAATTAATGTCACCTGATAACTTTTAGTGTACAATCTGAATACCAGTTTTTATAAGGATCTGTAATTTTTTTTTTAAGATGAAACATGCGGACAGACACAAAGGTACGTATGCCATCTTAACGTCCGTTGTATGTGTTTTGTGTAAAAGACGAGCGAAATATAGTTCTCGTTTACTGATTTTCGTAACATTCACCGAATAAATTTTAGATAATCCACTGACGAAGACGATTTGAATTTCAAATACTTAGAACGTAATTCTTTGGCTGTGCGAAATTGTTATACATCCACTGACGTTTCTATGTTTTCCTTTCGTAACGAAGAAAACAATGATGAGTGTCAACGAGTGGACGTTTCTCGACGAGTCGTATCTGATAAAAGCAACATGTAAAGCGATACGAAATTGCGAAACACTGGACTTGACTTTTAGCATGGACAAATTATCTTAGACACTTAACTTAATCCGTTGTCACACGGTACCAAGATGGCGCGGCAAATTGTGCAGGCGAGTGCAATATTGTGTACAAGGAGCAGTAAATCAATCAACTGTCCGTGGTAGTGCATTAAAATTTATTTCTTACGGAAATGTACAATGCTTCCGCATTGGAGGTTATGTCGTGACAACAGGAAAACTAATCAAGAAATAACACTCTAAAGTAAGTTGAAATTTCTCGTCCGGATCTTTAGAATTTCCCCCCCAAAACTCTTCAAGGTGTAGTGGCAAAGAACAGAGGTAATTTAACGTTTTCCCTTTTTTAGGTTTTACAGTAACATAATATGCAAGTATTGTTCATAATTGTCTTTAACTCTTATGTTATATGGTTTAATTTACAAATAAATTAGCTTCTGTGAAATCGAAATATCTGTTATGACTAAATAAATTTGTATTCCATTATAGTGTGGTAATTAACATAAACATAACAAAATATTTGGTTTAGGTTAGGTTAAGAACTTTAGTAGGTAATATTTAATTTTTTTAAGTGTTGAAACGAGGGCCATATTTAAAAATAGGATTTAATTTATTAAAATTGTCTTAAAATGTTCGGAGTTACCTGAAAAATTTCAAAGAAAATTCAGTCACGAATTAAAAATTTATATGTTAAAAGGACAAATAATATTTGTTTATGAAATAGTTGATTTATAAATATAATAATGTTTAGTTTTGTTTATTTATTTTACAGAACGTCTTCCCCCTCCAAATAAAATAGGCCTGAGTACGAAATTACACCATGAAAAGTGAGTGTTCTGCAGTTTGTAACTAATTAAAGCTTAAGTTTATTATAACTAAAACCTGTTAGTTTTATCTGATTCAGTGTCAGTTTACTGTGAACGGGTCGCTTACAGAACACACAATCTCACTGTTGCCACAGCTGTTGAATACCGAGACGCATATTCGAAGAGGTCTGTCATTCTTAGTGCCTCTCCCTTCGCATTACCACACACGAATTGTGAAGTTGTCACACACAAATATGACATTTTGTGTTTTTATCAAGCATAGAATTGTACCATTTTTGAGTACGGGTGACATAGTTGAGTTAGATAAAATCATAGTACTCTTAAATTAATATTCTAGCGCCTCACCCGTGAAATTGCGAAATCTAGATACACCCAAAACATTAGTCACGCACTAGAAAAATATTTTGTTTTAATTTTTTATGTTTTGTTGAAAATGATGTGTACATCTTAATGTCATGAAGGCGCTGAGCGAAACAATAATGTAATAAAAGTTATAAACCTGACACATTGTCTCACGTACGGAGTGAGAGGGATTCTGTCCTCCATTTCAGTGAGTGCCAATTACTAGGCTATCAATTTCTAGTCCCCCGCTCTCACCCACACACAAATCTATTCAGTGTGGAGTAGCTCAACATGAATAATAACATAATTTATGTTGTTATATTTTGCTGAACCACCCACAAGTAAAAATTTTGTTTCGGAATTTTATTTCTGTAGTGTAATTGCAAGCGTTTATATTTTTCAAATGTTATACATCCTGTAATTATAATCGGACGGCGTAAGTGTTATGGCAATAGTGCAAAATCGGCTAAATGCTATGCTATATAACATGGTGGAACGAGCCTCGGGCAACGAGATCTATACACGAAAAGTCTGTTCTTCTGCCTGGCAAGTTACATTGTAAACCAACAGCCTTTAATATAAGAAATCTGTGTTACGAAATTTACGTCATCTCTTTTGCCCAAAATATGAACGTTTTACTTGTAACATAACCGGATCCATCCATAAATCAAAATAGCCCTCCCAGCTACCTGTCTTAATTACAGTTTTCAGTAGAATATTGTAATACTTCTGTTAATAATGAAAGCAAAATGGGATTAATTTGTATAAGAGCCCTGTACCACCGGCTGTGATTGATACAAGGTATTGTCCGTAATCCAGCAGGCGGTTAAAGAAACTAACATGTAAATAAGGCTATTACTGGTCCATAGACGAATTAAATTATTCTCAATGTGATACAAATTATAGGCTCCTACATTCTGAATGCTATTACGCATCCACTGTGATCCACGGTCAACTGCATGTTATGTAATTTACATGTATTAAAATAACATACAAAAATACTATTAAGTATGCAAGAAATTAAAATTACGTTCATGGCGCCGAGTTGTGCTTGAAAGGCTGATAGTTGCTAACGTAGTTATGAAATGTCTTGTCTTCTATGGAATCTGAAGGACCTTTAATTTACTGTGTTCACAACAGACCATATCCTAAGTCAGATTAATCCAGTACCTTTGTAGAGGGCCGCAGAAAAAATTATAATGCCGTGCATAATAAGTGAAACTATTTATAACTTATTTGAAAACGGAAACGGGTAATAACCGTGTTTCTCCATACAGCTGATTTTATTGTAAAGACTGTATTTGTCAGCTGTCAAACAGTTTTGATTTTGAAGGCATTGATAATTGTATAAAACTTCAGTTATTAATAGCCCAATAATTTTTTGTTTTCGTGTATATATAGGCCTATTTATTCCCATGTTTTTGCCCCTCTCGAACTGGCCAATTACCAGATTATGTGAAAGGCCGCAAAAAATTGTTGCGAGGGCCATATGAAGCCCACGGGCCGCAGGTTTCCAACCCCTTTTGCGGAATAATTCCTTGTCACATATCTGTGTGTAGAGTTTAGATACTAAAGTCCTCGTTAACTTGTTTGGAATCACAAACCACGAGGTCTTAGATGTTAAAAAGTCTCTGACCAAAGTGGGGCTGGGAGAGGATGAATTACGGCCTAATTCGTGAGTTTGCTAAGACTGTAGAAAAAAATACGTGAGAGACAAAATGGATGGCATATGTAAAAAAATGTCTAAATTTTATTTTTACGTGTTCCAACCCACGCATCCTACTTAAGCCACGTAACGTATTGAAAGGCCTTAGAGCCGCGTGCATATAAATCCACCCCACTGCACCCACCTAATAATTACAATGTGCAAGGAGAGTATAAATGTGTGAAATTTGTATGGCGCTTGGAGCTGATTGACTACGCTTCGTTTCTTACATTGCTAATTAACATCTCAAAGCGCCCGAATCCGACTTTAAATCCATAAGACCTTACACTATCGACATAATTTCAGCTCAGACACTGTATTGTCCAGTATCACATAACTTGATACGCCGTACTTTGAGGGCAGTTCAGTCCATTGAAGTCAATAATAATCCTGACGTCTACTGTGATGTAGCTTTCTTGCTCTCTTTGCTGCCGTAGGTCTGTCGGTTTGAAAGCTACTTAATTCTGCCATGCGCTTACGTTCGGTTCGCGGTCCACCCTAACCACATGGACGCCACAAACACAGACTGGTTGACGCCTTCGATATTGGTCTCTCTCCTTATTTATTCTTATCTTTGTTTCTTTCCATTCCCCCTTTCTGTCGCATTTTCATTCTTGCTTTTTTGTACACTCTGGAATATTAATTGTCAGTGTAAGCATCTGAGCAGCTCTGTTAACTGTGTCTGATCTGTATCCCAAACCACGTCACGATAGGAATATGTAATTCAGGCTTGATGCTTGATTCGCCTACGGACAGACTACTCTTCAATTAGTTTTATTTTGTAGTCGATAAGTATCGTATCAAAAACATAGGTCTTCGTACGGAGTAGCAGACTCTCGGCTAGTTTATCGTAATAAGACGCTAACAGACCTGATTATGAATTACGATCCACAGACCGCATTTGGCCCAAAGGTTAATTTCAGGAATAGAATTTAAAAAACATTAACATTTAACAAAAGATTCAAATAAAGCTCTTGTGTATGATGTAAAATTAAAAATTTAAGCCGCAGGGATATTATCATAGTATTTTCTAGTATTAATGTTAATAATCTTTGTTTTCCAAACTTTTTCCCTCTTTAATTTAAAGTCAAATCAGTGTCACCGGTTCCAGTTGAGTGGAGCGCGTGTGACCGGAAGTTAATTTGCTGTTAGCCACACAGTGCCAAAGGGACGACAATATTTAATTTCGTCATCCTCCGATAGCACTTCAGAAGGTGGTTCATGAGATGGTACACCAAGGTTAGGTTAGGTTATCAGGAAGCGACGAAGAACCGTCCATTGCTCATTATTTGTACCTACAAAAAATCTTTTCAGGAGATCACATGGAAACTGTGATGTAATTTTATCAGAACACAAAAACCAAATAAAATAAAATAAAAATATGGAAAATGGAACAAAGAGAAACACCAGTTTCAAATGCTATATCAAGAAGAGAGGAAACGAGATTGTAAGATCGACATTAAACACACAAGAGGGAAATTTTGTATTGCAAAATTGTTTCTGGTAAATATCGACGAGTTCAAATATGGATATAGTGTATTCATTGTTAACACTGGTACCACGATGAAAGTGCAGGAGGAAGAAACAAGTATAAAGAGTGTGTAGTTAACATGCCTGAAGGAACTCTTCGCATTATAGGACAGTTTTGTAAAATGGCAAAAACCACAATTAAAATTTCTTTGAAATATTAACGCGTTTCCTTGACATAGACATGTTTGTGTAGGCTATTGTAATTCATTTACCTAGGATTAACTTTATGAATCAAACTTGAATTTACCCTTTTTTCTGCTGCCCCTTTTGTACAGGATCTAATAGCCACTGATTTTAGAACTTTAAGCCTCTATATTATATGACTTGATGCATGTGTTACGAATTTCCTGGTGTGTAATAAATGCAAGAATATTTAGGATTTTAATTTCTTTCCGCTCTAAATAATTATAGCGGGCTTTTGTAAACACTGAAATGGAATTTCGGATCCCATAAAACGCAGAGAATTTATTGAATAGCTAAATGACTATCAGCTTCTTAAGAAGGACTGTGCCCCATGGAGTTAGTTAAATACTTATGTTAAATGAAAAGAATATTTAGGGTAGAACTGGATCCACCGATTGTGGCCGCTGACCTTGTAGGGACTGCCCAGTATGCGGAGCACTCAATGAAGGAAGGAGTTTCCGTCGGTCAGTACAGTCTGTGTCAGTGCAGCAGTGTAAAAGCCTGATAATTGTTGTCCAGTGACTGTGCTGTGTTAACAAAATGACACCTGTTCGTTGCAACTTCATTTCTGGTCATTGATAACGCATTATATTGCAACACTCCGGCAGACAAATCACCAACGTCTTCATCAAAATAGTTTCCCAGATACAGGTCTTTAAAATTATTAAGGTCATATATTTTCGCGCTTATTTATGCCAAATGGTAAATACCTGGTTGACCAAACTCATGTAAAAATGAGGCCACGTATAGGTCGACGTCTTATGGAAGTTACGACAAAATCGGTTCACTAGTTTCCCAGACAGAGGTCTTCAAAATTCTCAGGGTCATATTTTCTCACGCTTATTTCTGCCAAACCTTAAATACCTGATTGACCATATTCATGTCAGAATGAGGTCAAGTGTAGGTCAAGGTCATATGGAAGCCACGACAAAATCGGCCCAATAGTTACCTAGATACGAGTCTTAAAAATTCTCAAGGTCATATATTCTCACGATTATTTCTGCCAAACCTTAAATACCTGATCGACCATAATCATGTCACAATGAGGTCAGGTATAGGCCAAGGTCATATGGAAGTCACGAGAAAATGGGTCCACTAGTTTCCTAGATACGGGTTCTTAAAATTCTCAAGATCATAGCTTATTTCTGCCAAACCGTGAATACGTGGTTTTCCATATTCATATTGAAATGAGGTCACGTACAGGTTAAGGTCATATATAAGGCTAGACAAAGTCGGTCCATTATTTTCCCAGATAGAAGTCTTTAACATTCTCAAGGTCATACATTCTCACGCTTATTTCTGCCAAACCTTAAATACCTGGGTGACCATATTCATGTCGAAATGAGTTCACGGATAGGTCTTGGTCATATGGAAGGTACCAAGAAATCGACCCACTAGTTTCCTAGATACGTGTCTTTAAAATTCTCAAGGTCATATATTTTAATGTTTATTTCCACCAAACTGTAAATACCTGGTTGACCATACTCATGTTAAAATGATGTCACGGATAGGCCACGTTCACGTCAAGACCACAACATGATCAAGCAAACTGTTTGAGAAATATTGGCTTCAAACTTTTAAAGGTCATTCCAAATAAAATTTTATCACGCATATACAAAGAGAACTGTAGGAATCTGAGTGACATTGCGCATATCATTTAGAGGCTATCGATTTGTCAAGGTCATTTGACGGTCATATTATATACTCAGTGCCTTATTTATGTTGGGATAGATTACGTTAATTTGGGTTAGTTTAGGTTGGGTTAGGTTAGGTTGAGTTATGTTAGGTAAGGTTAGGTTGGGTTAGGTTAGATTAGGTTAGTTTAGGTTAGGTTATATTAGGTTAGGTAGGTTAGGTTAAGTTAGATTAGGTTATGTTAGGTTAGTTTAGGTTATGTTAGGTTAGGTTATGATATGTTAGGTTGGGTTGCGTTAGGGTAGGTTAGGTTGGTTTGTGTTAGGTTAGGTTAGGTTGTGTTGTTAGGTTAAGTTAGGTTAGGTTAGGTTAAGTTTGTTTAGTGGATTTTGTTAACTTAGGTTAAGTTTTGAAAATTTTTGTGACGTTTCGACACTTATGGCCAGAACATGTCACACCGTTACAGTATGTCACGCTTTGTAAATTTTCGTCTCCTTTCGAAACTTATGGCAATATCTCGACACGCTTTTTTAGCAGGTCACGCTTTGTCACGCTTACACACATTTTTCAAATCTTCTTCATATTATAACACTTATGGCTTTATAGCAAGTCATCTCGTCACGCCGTTGCAGTACGTCATGGCCAGTCACGCATTGTCAGGAGTGGAAGAATTGGAAGAGGACCGAAGAGTTGTGAAGAATTTAAAATTATCTCATCCTCACTGCAGTGTTAATTTTCTAGTGATGAGTAATTTAGTGAAATCCACTTTCCTGTGTTGCATTCCGTGGTGATATTTTATTTGGAGTGTACTGTACGCGGCCTGCTGCCATCCCTTCCAGCAAACTTCTGGTAAGTGACTCGGTCCGTGGTTCCAATTCTCAACGTTTAGCGGCCAAAAGCGCTGGAACGTAGTATATCTTCTGCTTCCGTTACGTAAAATTTTCTGTGCGAAAGCTCACTTCACATAAGAAGCAATAAATTGGTGTGTAATTCCCTCTTCTCTTGCAATGTTCATTCATTCCCGTCCCTCCATAAACAGGATAGTATTTTCAGAGCCAACTAAAAGAGACATTATTTCGATTCCAACTCAAGCACTGCCTATAACATACTCCCATGTTTACAAGCAATTGAGTTTGAAATTTATTGGCGAAGAAACACTAAAAGCATAATATCAAAACACATGTTAAAATAATAAACCAAGTTTATAGACATCAGACTAAAATTAACGTGGTATATGTAGCGCTGTTAAGTTGAAATACGGCAGACATGTTTAGTGGAAGAGATGATATTGTCGTAATTCAAAAGTTTTCACGACATTCAGTATGCAAACAACCATTTTGATTCACACAAGTCTTTACATCAAGAAATAATATAAAAACTAGCATATAAAGAACAGACAGTCTATCTCAGGGGTTCTCAACCTCTTTCGGTGGCGTACCACTAATTCTAATTTAACACGTTAAATGTGCCACTAACCAAATGCTTTCACGGAATAACTTATATATGTTAATATTATGTTTTGGTTTTATTTTTTAGTTCGCTTACCACTCAACATTGGCTCGCGTACCATAGGTTGAGAAACGCTCGTCTATCTTGTCTCTGTGGTTATAAGTATATAACTTGAATAGGGCTTCTAAATATACGTATAAAATAATGCAGAGATCTTTGTTTCTCCGTCTGTTGTATGAATTCAGTTTCAGACCATAAGTTGAGAGTGGCTGAACGTGTAGATTTTCAAGGGGTAAACAGTCACATAGGTAGGGAAACCGCTTGCAAGGTAACAGAATGGGACTAAATTTTATTTGAAATGATTCTAAAGAAGTGGATTGTGGTGAAATTGGTAGTATTGGACTGTTTGATGTCATCCAGTAACCTACCACCAAATCTCAAAAATGGAAAACATTTTTTTTTCATCTCATATTTTAATCTTTAGGGTTCTTAAATGTGGCAAGAAAGATAACTCAGTGGTGCCAAGGATACCCTAAATTTGTGTAACTAACTAGTAAAAAAAATAAAGCGTAAATGACAATTTCGAAATGCGAAATGTTAGCTTTGTCAGGCAGAAATTCCTCTGCATTGTAGCACTTTTACGTTTAATCAAAGTTCGAGTGAGGGAGACTTCTTGATGGAATTTTTTTGCATGGTTTATTGTTGTTGACTGCATAGCAGAGCAACCACACCTGGGCCTAACCAATGGTGCCCACGGCCAACCTAAAACACACAAATCAGTAGAGGAATGACACCTCATTTCGAGGCCTCACACAATGGTCGATTCTTCCCAGGTGTCTTTTAGTTCAGAAAGAAGCCGCCAGAGGCCCTGTCAGATCAAGACCTGATGATCTGTAACCAGTTTCTATTGTTGTTCCCGAAAGAAAAAAGGAAGAAATATAAAACAAATTAGGTTTTTAAACCCTTCTGCTGTCAGAACATCACATTCCACGTGTTTTTATGGTGTGGGTGAATTATAGTCCCGAGACAGAGCTACGTAGCCCTGTTAGAATGAAGAGGCGATAAATGATTTTATAGAGATCACAAATATACTAAAATGGCCACAAAATTGATTATGTAAGAAATACATTTAACAGCTTTGTGTAATTAACATCACTTGTTATAAAAGCAACTTTTATGAACAATTTTTGAAATACATGCGATTTGGGCGTTAATTATGCATGTAAAATGCCCTTACAAATCTGTGTGCAAGAATGCGTTCATGAATAGTTTTCCCGGAAGACGCGTTTGCATCCATGTGGAACGTCTATAACTATCGCGTTGTCCGTCCGTCCATACACATGGAACATTTCGAGAAAGGCTGAACGGATTTGTATTAAATTTGACACTTGAGAGTTCCACTAAAATTTGTCTACATTCCCAATTTTGGTTAAAATCGGATAATAATAATGGGCACTTCACATGAAGACCAAAATGCATTTCTATGTTCCCAAGTGACTGGGTAGAAAATTTTTGAGAACCTCATGTCTGATAATTTAAAAGTTTGTTATTATTCATCTGGCTTAAATTTAAATTCCAGGAATAGTATTTCATCTGTCATCATTAAAGACATAATTTTTATTAGCTTTCGAGTAAGACAGATTTCTTACATCCTGTGTTATCACCGCCATCTTCTAAAAACAACTGAAGTAACAGTACTCTTATGTATTTTGGAGTACAAAACTGCCTGTTACGCACAATATACTCTGCCCATAGCAGTAAATTGGTTAGTTAAATAGACTTCAACAACAAATGTCTATTTTCAGCTACTGCGTTGACTTCAGAGCCTTTAAATGTTTATCATATGAAGACGGGCAATTTAAACCTCGTGTTGCGTGGCCGCCAGCCAGGGTTAAGGGTTTGGCTGTACGCTAGTTTGACACATGACCGTCTGGATCACGTGCAAGGCGCATCGCAAGGACGATGAAGATTAATGACACCAAAACATGGAAATAATGAAAAGTTTCGGATTTCAGAGTATTAGTAGAAATCCATATACTTTATTAAATGGGTAAAATATAAACAGTTTTCATATTATTTTGTGCACTGTATTTTATTTTACATTTTGTATACAATATCTAGCGCGGTGTGTGTATATATATCTGTATAATATATTGGTGGCGAGGATCTAGACAGCGCAGCCACGCGTGGGCTAGCTGAAGCATCCGACTCTTCTGCCTCGACAAGAATTTCACTGAGGTATACCAACATATTCATAAAATATAATTGACGAACGACAGAAATAAGCATAGCTCAAAGTTTTCTCATTTTACATGACACAAAAATGCAAAGTTATAATAATTATTTTCCCTGATGACTGAAAAAGAAAATAGGAGTGAAGGACACAAATTTATTCAGTACATTAACGATAGAAATTAATGGAACTCTTCACAGAGTCAGTTTCTGAGGCCTGAGACCAAGTCTGTCAACTACATGTTGAGGCATACAGTAAGTAGGATTAACGGGCTTAATAGCCGGTTCCCCGAGCAAAGACAACGCGGCCAATCCAAAAATCGTGTGGAATGGATCGGGCAAATCGCCCGGACGGTCGCTGAAGCCGCCCGTTTCAGGATCCTGGCACGCTAGCACGAAAGTAACTAGAGATTCACGACGAATCCAGTGCAAGCGTCCTAGTATACGCAAAGATGCCAACACCCACCAAGAGTAACACACGTCAGGAAGTTTCTCCGGTCTACCGTTCAGACCGCCCGAAGGTAACTGACGCTCGCATAGCCACCATCCTAGTAGATCAGCGTCTACATAATGCAAATGTCCTGCAAGTAAAAGTATATACTATTTTTAACATTTTTGAATACGGCAACATTCAACTGAATTCCAAACACCGATCGTTACGAGATAACGATGATGCATCATGCAGCCTGGCAGACGTATTGGCCAACAAAAATAAAACGTGGAACGACAAAAAACAAACTCACAGATAATAAAAATAATGCAAACAGTAGCGGCATTTCAGAGGAGCTAAGATGGATGACGAAAAAAAACGAAATGCTGGTCTGTATCAATAAGACTGCGTTGCGTGACATCCCAGAAGACGGTCATCTTCACACTCATCTGTGAGAATCTCAGAGCTTAAACAGCGATCAGGTGTCCTCAGGAGTTTTATGAATCCCAGGATAGTATCTTAATCCCCTCTTGGGCAGAAAGCTCGAAAACGTTCCTCGTCATTAAGTAACATAAAATAAGGGGTTGCAAGTAACCATCAATTTAATACCTTGTCAGAATAACAGGAGTAAAATAAAAACAGTGCCAAACTAAGAGTTTGTATTAACGTATTATACCTGTAATAGAAAGCATCCCGAGGCAACAATAGATGAGCCCGGCGTGAGATTCCGATCCGGGCCGTGATCCGAAACCACCATCAAAATTCATACATGATACTACAAATTCCACAGCCTTTTCAACATCTATTTCTTCTAGTTTTCCCTGCAAAAAAAATATTAAATAACACACGTTTCAATGTTTTAAATGCATCAGCAGCAAGTGTTTAATTTAAAGTTAAAATTTATTTAGTACTCAAATGAGTTTTGAAACTCCAAAACCCTAAAATTTGCGATGATTCCCGTGATTTGTTTTCGTAAAGTAAAAGTAAAGCAGTCCTGATACACGCCATGTAGGTTGCTCGGGGGGAGTGGAGGTATAGCTCCTACTCATTCTTGACCTCAGCACTAGATGGGGCGAGTGGTCGGCATCGTGCCCCAGCTGCGCTTTACCCCCAGGAAAGGACCACGGTACCCACCGGACAGGAGGCTGGGTGGACCCTAGACCAGTCTGAATGCAACAGCTAGAAGAAAAATCCTCTGCCCCTATCAGGGATCGAACCCCAGCCCATAGCCAGACACTATACTGACTGAAAAATGTGATTTTTCCCCTTATTTTCATTCATGGTCACAATGAATATGAATTATACAGTCTCAGAATAATGATTAAATAATTACAGTATGTATTCCACTTAACAACATAGTGTCCTTGAAATCATACCAGTAATGAAAGGCAAGCAACAGCGCAGAATGAAAAGCGTGTATCCACCTCGCCCCATTTGTCGCCGCAGAAACTTCCATCTGGCTGCTGCAGACTTTTGACATACTGCACCAAACGATCCACATTTACAATATCCAAAGCATCATACATGCTTAGGATCTGCAAAACAATATGGCAATTACGTCGGAAAACATGTAGTACAGCAAACGCAGGATATAATTCAAGTACATAATTATTGTCAAGTAATTTAATTTCCTAGTGAACATTAATACTTTTGTTATTTCAATAAAGATAACAATTTGACTCGACACTAATTTTATATCTTAATATCCCAAGAAGTGTAAATAAAATGAAATGACGTTGAATTCTTTTTTATAGGACAGTCGCATTTGTTGATTCTTTTGTAGTTTGCAAATCTGAAGGTCCAATTTCTGTGAATATAAAAACCAAACTGGAGGGTACACCTCTTAATAGCTGGTCTGAAAACGTACAAAAAACGCAAATGAAATACCTCTCCATGAACGTAACCTTAATACAGATTCAGCTGCGTGAACGGCACCTGTAATCTGCTTAGAACCTAGTCTTCCCTAAAAATAACAGGGACTGACAAAGACCATCACCATATTTACATTATCCACACACATTTTCTTCCCTTCTTCTATTTGTAAAATTTATGATAAAAATGGAACAGTTATTTATTCTTCAGACTGTACTTTTGAGCCAAAGTACTCTAATACTTATTTAAGAAGCTACGTGTAATATTTAATCTTTGTTCTATATGGTTGCAAAATTTTGTCTCTCTCCTTAAAACAGGAACGTTAGCTGAAGACTCAAAGTTATGACGGTGGCGAGGATGAATATGGCTGTCTTCCATCACCCTGACAATAAAGGCAGCAAGTACATCTGAAATGTCAGTATTCACTGATTGAGAATGTCTGAGAACAAAGTGCAGTGGAAAACACTTTAATCTACAGAAGAGGACGCAGCACACAGAAAATTACATAATGAAGTTTCATAATTCGTACCTAATATCGTTAGGGTGATAAATCAAGGCGGATAAAGTGGGTACGACATGCGATATAAAAGGAAAATGAGAAATATATACATATTCCAGTGGATAAACCTCAAGGAAAGGGACCAGGTGGGAGATTTCTGGGGTACTGTGCCACGTAGAAGTTTACAGACATTTCAGGGGTGCATGCTGTCTCCATCATCAGGGTGATGAGTGGCCTGATGATGAATGCAGCAAGCAACCCTGAAACAGCGGCAAAATTCGACAAGACTACTCATCTTCATTCTTGCCACCATGAGAACATAAAATCGTATGTGACATCGACCCTTCAGGCTCCCCATAAAAACAGAACATGGTTTACCACCTGAATAACTATCAGCTTTTCAAGAGAGACCTTTTATCGCACAGTTTGCTAGTTAACATGCGATGTTTCCGCTCTTTGAAGACAGTCAAAGCCGTATTAAACCTACATTTGAATAAGTCAGCGATATAACTTCACCTGTACTGCACTCAGGGTATAGAGCAGATGAGGATCATGACCGACGCTGGCACCTATCCCTCCAGCGTCATCTTGACACAGCTTTATGAATTCAAGAATCTCCTGTTTGTTTATTCTCTCCAAATTTCCAATAAGCTCCATAGCAGTGAGACCCCAGTAAACGCCCGACATCCGCAGGTACTCTGTCATACAGTATTCCTATTCTCGTGTAAGAGAACTAAAATTAATCATCTTCATGACAAACACCGTGATCGTACATGAAAAGAAAGATATTAAATCCTGAAAGACAATAAAAGTACAGAAGTGTGGGTGAAACTCTGGGTTCTAGCTTGTTGTCTCATTTCTCATGTTGGTAATGCATTTGGTTTACACAGTATGAGCATTTGTTTAATTTCTACCCAAAAAACTAGTGATGGAGGCAAAGTGCACAGATTGGTCCCAGCTACAGTAAAGCACTATCGTCGAGTTCTGAGAAAGGAAATCGTGGTAACTTTGAAACAAACTGAGAATCATAATCATGACTCATGTATGACAGAAATGAACACAATATATTTCAAGTCACCATCTCTTAAGCGTGAAAATATAGTGTAGTCTGTCCAAGAACACCCAGACTGTATACTACAGGTTATTCGGTGTTCTACAGACGGCTTCAAAGTGGTCCATTTTGCAATGGCACATTTCAAGTATTCATAACCAACCAACAAAAACATCTCCAATAAAATGTAATGTTATTATGATATACTGCCAGAAATCAAGACACAGAAATTTTGGATACTATCAGACTCCACATCCCTACACATTACTCCAAATACCTGGAGAAACTACAGCATAAAAATCATACTAAAAATTTAAAAAAAAATCATTTTGCAGTTATGAATTCTGTTCAATTAGCTGACATTGGGACTGCAAAAATGAATTGACATCCATGTGAAAATATTGTGACAAGGAATGTTCTAATGAGTCTAAACCGCACTACATGTGGATACATAAAGAGAGCTTGTACAGTTATTCATAAAAAAATGACTTTGTTTATAAATTAACTTTCTTACTATGTTCTACTTACAGGTATTAATGCTGTCAGCTTCATGTGTATTAAAAATAGCCATGTTTATAAATTAACTTTTTTATATTAAATTACTTACATATTCATCCTTGTTAACACCATAGGAAGAAATGAAATCAGCATGTTTCTGCAGCAAGAGTTCCTTTGGATGACTTGAACTTAATATAATATCTTTCATCAATGTAGCCTGCAAGTAATGTTTGATTTTATCATTAGGATTCCTTAAATACAAAGTTACCAAGAAAGCAATTCTAAACACATTTACGAAGAAAGTCGGTAAAGGTGAGTGTAATATGAACTTTAACCTTTCAACCGAAAAGTATCAACATATTATGACAGCATAGCAACATCTGGAAAACAAATTGATGTCTAGTGATATGGGAGAAAAAGTGGTGAAAAATTTCTTAATATGTACAGTTGAGGTCTTATGTAGTCATGGCAATACCATCAAGTTCAGACAATTATTCTTCTCTACAACAATGTCTCAAAAGATATTTTTGTAGCCATATATGAACACCATTCACTGATTCTTTACCTGCGGTCAGAATTTAAACATTCTTCTCTGCTTGCAATGCATGTTAATGGATGATACCTAATATTTATTACACTGACAGATAGTGTTGATAGTTTGCAGTTAGAATGTGGAAGATCAAATCAAACTACACTCAAAGTACAACTGCAACTACATTGCAGTCTCTCCTGTTATACTTATGCCAGTTGGCACACGCGTAGGTTAGGTCACCATTTATAATGTAATGACTACATTTAATGTATTTTCCAATTATGAAGTTTACATATTGCATTTAACTTGCCAAAAAAGTACAATTAAAAATTACGATATATGATTATTTACCATTTTTATAATGGAAGTAACATCACTCCTTACGTAAAATTGCTTTGCTGCAGCTATCCCTTTGCATCAGTGTAGCCACCAACCATGAATTTTATATTTTTGTTATTAATCCTTGGCTCTTCGGATTGTGGTAGTATATCTTCTGTGCTCTTGTTAGGTTCTGTGGATTTAGCTTCTGTGCGCGAAGGAAGGAGTATTGGGAAGCTTTCGGCGTTTGTGAAGAGTTAGTTGATGTTATTTGAAGTTTGTGTGTACCATATTCTGTATTTTAAATAATATATAGTGCATATGGCTGACGTTTTGGATATAGATAATGCAGAAGAGTTCGAAGTGGACGAAGAAGGCGATCGTAAGTACATACATGTTTTAGTATGGTCGTATGGAATTGGGTTGTGTGGTTTACAACTAGCAAGTTACCATTCTTACATAAGTGGATGGTGTACTTCAGATATTTAACTCTTTGCTTATAGTTCGAATACACGTTATTTTAAATAACATGTTACAGAAGGAATTGCCCGCCTGAAAGAAAAAGCAAAGAAAAGAAAAGGTAGGGGTTTCGGAACTGAAAATTCAGCCCGTGAAGACATCCGAGAATATGAGTCGATGGAAGTTGATGGGGATGAGGAACCAGGACCTCAAAGATGTGAGTACAACTGGGTCCTTTTTCAGGTCTTCGCATTGTCATATCCGTTAATCTCTTTCTACCTTGTAGGCTTCATTAATACTGCGGTAATATAGGAAATACTTTGCTGTACAGTGACCACATGAACCTGTCTGAATTTTGGTTTTATCTAGTTATGGAGGTTATGGTGTGTATCTCTTACTAGCACTTTCCTAGATGATTTTAAATCTGAATCAGCTGCTCTCTTCATTTGCATTGAGGGGTACATGGTACCATAATCCCATTGGAGGATAAGATAAAATCAAAAGATAAATCCTTGTAACCAATTCAGCCTTTAACTTGCCATGAAGTTTGTGTTTCATTTAGTTACTGGCCCTATTTCAAGTTGTACTTTATAATGATGGTCTGTTCATATTCTCACAATCTTATAATTGTTCTAAAAAGGCTTTTTTGCAGTGAATGCATAAAGAAAGTATTAAAGATTTGAGTTTTAAGTCAACAGAAGTTATGTGACACCTTCTCATGAAGATAATACCTCCAATGAATCTGACCAAAGACCTCTTATTTTGTGTGGGGAACACAGAGGAAAGTGAATCTGGGAATACATTTTTCCACCTTAACGTAGATGTAAGTTGTGTAATCCCTCCTCGTCCCATTAAATAGTTACAACATTCAGTAAAGTAGATCTTTTTTGGGTTATGTTATCATGGTCATTGGCAGATACATCTTCTGTATAGGGAACTCTGCTTAATAATTGACTCATAGGTTAGGTTATGTTGGCAAGATTTGCATGCTTCATGCTTTAATTATGTAGGTGAGAATGTTGGAGATAGTAACTTAACATGTCATTGCCAGCCAGACAGTTTTTGAAACAGCTTTGGTGACTTTTTTTATTCTTTTGCAAAGTTTATTCAGGAAAGAAGGTTAGATTGATAGATATTTCCTGTAACTCCTAAGTGGAGCATAGGACCTCCTTTTGGAGGTTTCATAGTCTTTAAAGTGTGCATTTAAGAGTAGTGAGTGACTAGCCCACTGACTAGGAAAGAATGTTAGAACAATGAAAATTACATTTCAATATCCATTTTCAATATTGCTTGATTGTTTCCAAAGTGGCATAAAGGAAGTATTCTTATTATCAAATGTACCATATAAACTTGATCAAATGAGACTTTATGCACAATACCTTGCTTCTCTTTATGCCATTTTCCTGATCCCCACATCCATTCCACATTTTTGGTATGTGTGCTGGACTGCAGGTTGACAAAGTTGTACTTGTAATTCACTCTCAACTGTTTAAAACCCATGTGTTTCACATCCTTTATCTCGTTTCTTCCATGCTGACTTTCAGAATAGATGATTAATTTTCTACAGTGGCAGCATTCTGATTTGATGCTTTTATCAAGGAACTTTTTTTGTGCACTATAATCCATTGCACAGGTAGTTCTTGTGCTTTGTGAACAGACTTTCATCAATATTCACAATTTTTCCTTCATATAAGTTATTTTCAGAACATTCTGTGTAATGACTCCCTGTCCCATAAAACAGTTGTTCCAGACAGTTGTGGTGTTGTTACTTTTACTGAGTACATGGTTGCACCACTTCATGAAACCAACCGCCAACACACATGTTGACTGACCGACCGTCGGCTTATGCGTTCACATTCATTCTTCCAGCCTGTATGTTGCACTGCCAGGAAACTTGACAGTGTTATTGATTGCTTATACTCACTCTTGTGTTTGCATGGTGGAATTCCACTTCTTTGAAGAAAGATTGTCTCCTCTTCAGGTTTTGGCAAATCCCACAAATTCATAATTTTTTTAAGGAGTTGGCAGTGTGAGATAACACATCACGCTGACAGTTTCTGACTAGTAGGCAAAATAACAGATTGATTACATATGCTATTGGGAAAGGACCCCGGTACCCATTGGACAAGAGGCTGGGTGGGCCTCAGAGCCGGTCTAGATGCAGAGACTAGAGAAAAAATCCTCTGCCCTCCGTAGGGGATCGAATCCCGATCGCCCAGTCCATAGCTATTCACTATACTGACTGAGCTGTCCCGGCTCATATATGCTATTGTTGTGGATGGCATATAAATTTATTTCAGAGTTACCAGGGTTTACCTGTTGATGTATAACCTGAGTTCCTGGAATTAAAATGTGATATTTCAGTGGTAACATCTTAGACTTGTTTTTATTTTGGCAGCTATTGAAGGATGGATTTTGTTTGTCACATCTGTACATGAAGAAGCTCAAGAAGATGACATCCACGAAAAATTTTCAGAATATGGTGAAATAAAAAATATCCATTTGAATTTGGATAGACGAACAGGATTTCTGAAGGGATATGCTTTGGTGGAATATGAAACATTTAAAGAAGCCCAACAGGCAAGAGATGCTTTGAATGGAGCAGAAGTCTTGGGACAGGCTATAGGAGTTGATTGGTGTTTTGTTAAGGGACCGAAAAAGTAAGTAAATGTCTCTATAGGTTATATAAAATCCATGTATAATCATTGAGGGGATTGCAGCAGTAAATACACTATGAACTTAATGTACAGCGTGTTCACTGGTAAATTGGAATGCTAATGTCACTTCCCAGCTCCCAGTAGGAATTGCTAGACTTAGCACCAAACACTACAAGATTTTCCCAATATGAGCCATGTCGCTCTATAAAAACAGTAAAATCATCTTCTAGATATGATGCCCCTGTTTTAGCTGTGTTCCAGTTTATTGGTGAACACAGTGTATAATAAATAGATGTTTGTATCAAATCATTTATTTTCAGCTTTAATATAAGACTGGAAAAGGTGATTATATTGTTTATGGAACTCAACAATTGACCTTTGGAAGACAGTGAACGTGTAATAATGCCTGGTCTGCAATTAATAAGTAACCGTGTTTATGATTTCAGGACAAGGAAAAGCAGGAGAAGGAGATAAATGTGGAATACAGGTTTCAGTCAATTTAAAAGCAGTTTGCGCAGTACACGTTCAAAAAATACTGAAATTCCTGGTACACAATGATTTTTTGTAATTATATGTTTAGCAACAAATAAAAAAAAAATACAGCTGATTTGTAGTTATTCTTGAAATGATAGGAATTTAAATTTTCTCAAGAAGGTCACAGCCATATTTAATCAACTGTAAAATGCTTTAAACTGCAAAGAGTCATAAAATGAATAGTATATTTATTGTACAGGGAGCACTTGATTTGCACCGATTCAAAATAACGCCGATTTTGAAACCAGAAAGTCAAAAAGTGAAAGAAGTATATTTTACTGTTTTTTATAACGTTTTACACTGTTTCTCGTACTGCTTCTTATACTAAATCGTAATTCTTACATCGCTGATTTTGAATAAAAATTAGAAATACAGTCTTCTCTGAAGTTACGTATGTTTCATTAAAGCGAATTTGCTCCAATGACATATTGAATCAGTAAAAGCTGTTTGTGATATGCAAACTTGTGCATATGCAAGTTTGCTTTTGTGCTACAGCGAAGAGCAGCGTTATGGCATCCATGTGGTCTTATAATGAAATTTTGAAAGAAAGAAAGAAGAAATCATGACAGTCCACACTACATGCATTCTTTAATAGACATAACAATCCTCAACCAGGGACTTCGTCAGAGAACTAACACCGCTTCATGAAGCCATCACCGATTGTAAGTGTTTAAAATATATTTTTTTAACTTACCTTTATTTTATTTACGTTACTTCAGAGATCTAATGTATTTCCATTATATATGTTTGGGTGCTGGGAATGCAGGTGAGGCACAGACCGATACAAGCAGAGAAGAGTGAGACAGACAGAGTGAGGCGAAGATGTGGTGTGTGACAGAAAATGGGAAGCAGAGATCGGGTGAAGCAGAGACCGAGTCAAGCATGTACAGGCTGATGCACATACCATATCAAGCAGAGACCGGTAGGCACAGGCCGAGTAACGCAGAGACCTTGTTAACCAGAGACGGAGTTAATCAGATACCGCTTGAGGCTCAGACTGAGTACGGCCGAGACTGTGTGAAGTAGACAGTAGCAGATTCGGGGTCTGGCAGAGTCTAGTTCTGATAGGAATGGGTGAGGTTAAATTTGGAAAAAATATTTTCAAATTTTTCGAAATTTTCGAAAAACCAAAAAACGCTGCAAATATTCTGAAAAGCGCACAAAACCAAAAAGTTTCGGAAAATTCGAAACAATTTAAAACTTGAAAATTTTCAAGAACACTTAGTTTTGTGCGCTTTTTGGACGATTTCCTACGTTTTTTTATTTTTCGAAAAATTTGAAAATTTTGATAAAAATTTACTCCAGGACCTGTCTTTGCACGACACGATCACTTCCGCTCCCTTTCCCTGAGGGATGCGGTAACGGCACGATGCGATCTTATCCCGGCCAGGACCATCTGTGCACTACGCGGTCACTGCCGCTCCCTTTCTCTGTCCGATGAGGTGTCTGCCAGACTCGCTCTCTGCAGGATACCTTCTCTGTATCACCCGACATCTGCCAGGCCGTCTGTCGAAAGACATGGTTCGGCAGAGACCAGGTGAGGCACAGACCGATACAAGCAGAGAAGAGTGAGACAGACAGAGTGAGGCGAAGATGTGGTGTGTGACAGAAAATGGGAAGCAGAGATCGGGTGAAGCAGAGACCGAGTCAAGCATGTGGAGCTGCAGAGAGCAGACACCTGCAGAGGCCGGTTGGAGCAAACAACGAGGCAGGAAGCAATTGGGTTAGATAGAGTATGTCTCCGGCAGAGACAGAATGTGGCATTCATCGAGACTGGG